ACATCATCATTATCATCCTCACCCTCGTCAACATTATCCTTAATATAGCCATCTTGGTTTGCACTATATGCCTAATTGGCCCCAAGATTGGTAAAAGGGCCCTTATTCTTGCCATGTCATCTTTGCATGTGAAGGTTTGCAGCGTTGTTATATTGTTCTTAATGTTTTTATTATTATTATTGTTATTATTGTTATTATTTTTATTATTATTATTATTATAATTATTATTATTATTATTATGTACTGCTCTCATAGGCAATTGGGTTGGGATATGCTGACAATGAAATTCCCAAAACCCTTGAGGGAAACATGGCTAGTATTAATCTCGGCCAGTCACGTTATGCTTCATAGAAGCATTATTATCACAGATTATTATTATTTTTCCAGGATTACAGGCTGTGGGATTAATATCTTAAGGATGAGATTCAAACAGATACAATTTCGGGAAATCCCATTACACCATATAGTCATAGAGAGGGGGTTTGGGTGCTTTATTTATATCCTAACCCCACCCCCACCCCACCCCCCCCCCCCAAAGGACGTTACAGGATAGTTCAACATTTAAGATGGTGGTAGGACTGGGTTTTCCAGCTGTCTGATGCTATTAACGACCCCAAAACATATAGAAATGGCCCTAACTTTAACCCACCTGCGTCCCAGGAGAGAGTGCAGCCTAGGTCCCACGACTGCATGCAGCCTATCTACCACCACCCTTAAACATAAGACTGTCCCGTGACCTGTGGATTTCCCCTGTTTGTGGTAGGATATTAATAATGCACCGGCGTTTGTACTAAACTTTCTATGCAGAACAAATTCGAAACACGAAGTACATGTCGTCAAGAAACAGTGTGCTTAAAAAGTCATTAAATTACTAACAATAATTACTGCTTTGGTCTAATGCTGTTTCAGGAAAGCTGGAAATTCCCAGTAAGATAATTCATTGCCCGGCTCTCTAGCGTAGTTGGCTAAACGGGATTGCGCGGTGACCGGGTGACGAACTCCTTGTGGTCCGGGTTCACTCCCAGGGGTAGACAGAAAAGCCACATTTCTCCCAGATTTACGGTATATACAATGGAATCAAGGCCGAAAGGTTGCGATATCCATAATACCGAGCCTAGGGGTTACAAACTCATTGCTTCTGGATACTAAAACAAACAAACAAACAAACAAACAAACAAACAAACAAACAAACAATTCATTATAATAGGTGTTGAAATGCCCATCATGGGTTTCAAGACGTGACGACACAAATACCTTTTGCAACGTGTTAGTTGGTATTTTTGTGAATGGTAATTCTGACTGCTTCAACCTAAAGAATTTTCTTTCGTTGATGTTCGTTTTCAGTGTACAGAATTTCACCAGCAGACGGCAGCCATTTGCTGCATATTGATTGCTTTACAAGCACATGTACCCCCGTGTGGGTTCCGGGGCACCATTGTGGGGAAAACAAGAGTAGACCCACTGTCTACCCAAAAGCATGTCGTAAGAGTCGACTAATTGGTGAGCTATCCTTTGGAGTCGGAGTGCATCTGCCGGAGAGGCAAGGAACCAAAAGTCTGTATTCAAGAGAATAAGATCTGTAAAACTGATGCACACGCAACACTCAGTAGTGGACGATCAACCAGAACTTTTCGCCAGAGTGTACAGTTGGTGAACGCGAAGAAGAAGAAGAAGAAGAAGATATAGGGACACCACAAAACGGTTACGAACAAATGTGAAGTTCTGTGTGGGTGGGTGTGTATTCCTCTCTAGATATACGAAGCACCCCTTTCCTTTTTCTCTCCCTCTCCCTTTTTTTTAAATGGTCAGGCACGTCACCATAAGGAAATCTTTCGGGGGAGGGGGGGATCGTTTATTGTTATTTTTTTAGGACCCTTTCCCACACCTTTAGGCATATTGGCTAGACCTATTTCTTTATAGACTAATCAGCACTTGGGGGGTGATGGAGCCATCATCACAGCGGCCGCCTTTACTTCCCAGGACTGTCTCTGGCACCCACTCAAGGCTGGGTTGACATGGGAGCCAACAACATTTCTGGAAAAAAAAAATGTCCGGCTCCGCCAAGACCCGAACCCACGACCCTCCGATCCGCAATTATTATTATTTATTATTATTATTTATTATTTATTATTATTATTATTATTATTATTAATTATTATTATTATTATTGTTATTATTATTATTATTATTATTTATTATTATTTATTATTATTGTTATTATTATTATTATTATTATTATTATTATTATTATTATTATTATTAATTATTATTATTATTATTATTAATTATTATTATTAATTATTATTATTATTATTATGATTATTATTATTATTATTAATTATTATTATTATATGATACATGCTTCATAGACTATACAAAAGCATTTGACTGTGTGAAGCATGAAGAAGTAATCAATCTGTTCGAAAAATTAAACATTGATGGGAAAGATCTACGAATAATAAAGAATATGTATTGGCAGCAAACAGCAGCTATAGGAATTAACAACTGTTTAGGTACATTTCAAAGCATAAAGAGAGTCGTACGACAAGGATGTGTACTGTCACCTGATTTGTTTTCAATATACAGTGAATATATAACGAGATCTTTAATTGATATGCTCGGAATTGTGGTTGGTGGGCACAATATAAACAATTTACTTTTGCTGATGACACAATCTTGATAGCAACAAGTCAGAAAGAACTACAGGAAACGATAGCCATTGTGGTGTTTAAAAAAGTGGAAGAATGGGCCTTAGTTTGAATAATGGGAAGACAGAAGTAATGGTGGTATCAAAGAAACGAATTATTCCTAAATGTGTAATAAACGTCGATGGTGTTATTTTAGGACAAGTACATAAATTTAAGTATCTAGGCACATGGATAACATCAGATGGAAGATGCATAACTGAGATAAGAAACAGAATAGGACAGGCAAAAACTGTATTTTATAAAATGATAAACATCTTGTGCAATATATCCTTGTAATTGAGAGTTGGAAAAAGAATTCTTGCTTGCTACATACATCCAGTTTTAACACATGGCTGTGAATCCTGGACAATCGGTAGGCAGGCCAAACAATTTCTAGAGGCCTCAGAGATGTGGTTTTACAGAAGAATGTTTAGAATACCTTGGACAGCCAAAAAGAGCAACCAGGAGGTTTTGAAAGAGGCGGGAGCCCGAAGACAACTTATCACAGACATCAGAAAGAGACAGTCATCATTTTCCGCCATGTTATGAGAAGAGGGAAAATAGAACATGCTGTGACCACTGGAAAGATCTGCGGAAGGAGGGATAGAGGAAAACCACGAGAGAAGATGCTTGACAGTCTTCTTGCATTTCATGGAGGTGTGTCGGCACACGAACTGATACACGCTGCAGGAGATCACAGATTATGGAGAGGCATGATCGCCCACGCCAGTCGGCAAGGCACTGATGATGATGATATTGCCAAAAAAATATATATTTAACAAAAGTCAAAGACATAAACATAAAAATAATATAGACAAAAATATCTTGGGAGTGGCAGGCTTAACATATCTAGCCCTACAGGTCTGTGGTACCGGTCCTGAGTCTTAAAACAATGGAGGGTTGCGGGGAATGTCTCCCTATTAAACCGACACTGATAATGACCAAAAAAAGGGGGTCGAACTGAAAACAAATTGTATGTATATTGTGTGTTGTATTTTATGTATTGTGTTTTATGTATTGTGTTTATGTATTGTGTTTTATGTATTGTGTTTTATGTATTGTGTTTTATGTATTGTGTTTTATGTATTGTGTTTTATGTATTGTGTTTTATGTATTGAGTTTTATGTATTGTGTTTTATGTATTTTGTTTTATGTATTGTCATCTCTAAGATTTGGCTGAAACGATTATATTTTGTATCGTTTTTGCTTTTTTGTTTTTAAAGATTTGATTAAAGACATTGTGTGTTGTGATAATTGTTTTTCGTCTTAGACTACAATCGTGTTATGTTTATATTATCACAATGGACATTCCTGCATTTTGGGTATTTCCATGTGTGCTCAGTCCTCCGATGCAGCAGCAACTCAAATGTACCTCTAGTAATTGTCCCCATGGAGAGTTGGTTATAGTATCTCCTCTGTTGACTCCAAGACGGCATAGACGGGCTTTATCAAGTTTAACTCCCAGGTAAAGCAATCGTGTTAGCGTCAGAGATTCAACATTACCCCCTGCCTCCAGACTAGTCCGTACAGCATTGATGATGTCAGCTCTGTCCGTGCTTCTTCCGGCTAAGTGTCGGTGTGGTGGGTAATGAAAAGACAGACAGATTCGCTGGATATGCACCACTGGGTGGTGAATTGATACATGACAAGGCCGTTGTGATCATAGCCATTTTGAAACAAGCAAGGAAATCAGTAGAAAAACAAGATTAATTATGGCCTGGAGAGAATGAGGTACCTGGGTTTAACCAGAGAGTCTGGCCGGCTCACTACACTGAGAGGAATGGCAAGACAGACATATAACCAGATTGTGACCGGTATCATCAGTTTTTGGAACTCTGCGCTGGCTGCTGAAGATTAGAACGGATCACGCATGGGAATGCCCCCGAGGGCTGCGATGTCAGTTCTTGACCCAACTCAACTTAACTCCAGCTGAGTGTAAACTGTATGTGGTTTTAATGCTGTGTTTCTCCTAGATTTCACAGATTTGACTTAACAAACTATACGTTTATGTCAAGCTGTGATTTCCACTGATTCTTCTTCTTCTCTTCAGCATCAAGTGTTTGCAGGTCTGCATGGACAGTATCTCTCCATTGTCTTCTTGGTCTACCTCGTGGTCTAAGACAAGCCATCTCCCTTGTGTATTCAATTTTTACATCTCTGTCTTTTGACATTCTTTCAAAACGTCCCAACCATTTCAAATCTATTAGCTCTCATGATGCCAGTGATCAAAGGTTATTTAAACAGATTATGCATTTCGTTGTTGCTTCTGACGCCACTGACTGACTGAATAAAGTGTATATTTTATGTTGCCAGGCATTGCTTCTAGATGAAGACCACAAAGCCTTGTACAGACGTGGCTGGTTTAAAAAAAAATGGAAAAAAATCAAGAACTGGGTGAAAAGCCAGGCTATATCTGCCGCAATTTCAACTGGAATTAAGACCGTGGTAGCTGCTGGTGGCAAAAGAGACATAGAAGATTTGGCTGAATTTCCTTAGTGAAGCGGTGGCTTTCAAAGGGGCATGTGCTGGTTGTGTCCTGTTAAAAAAACATTAAACATGAAAACATGTCCTTTGTTATTTATTACTGTCCTTGTAGTCCCCCCATCCCCTCCTCATCAATAACATCGTCACCTTCTTCTTCTCCCGCCCCCCCCCCCCCCGCCTTTCTCCCTGCTTCTTCTTCTTTCCTTCTATACATCTACTAAGTTCGTTTGGTTAGTTCGACGTTAGTCTTCCCAAATATAGGTCCCTTTCATTCACAAATTTGTTGGGCTGGTCGACTTTCCTGAAGGTTACCGGTGTGTTCTTCTCTGTTGTTGGATTTCTGCGATGTCTTGCATTTACGTTTTCATTCCGAGAAAAAAAAATTCGCGTGACACAGGTTACAGCACTCTCTAGGGGAGTTGTGTTAGATCCAGTTTCTCCAGGTTTTTGGAGTGTCTAAAGCGCTGGCGTGCTGAAATATACAACACGCGATATCAATCAGAAGCTAGCTAGTGTGTATATGGGCGGGATCTGTGGAGACTAACGTCGAACTACCCATTCATTTTTATTTCCCAGTTTCTCTTGTCTTGTTTTCTTTCTTAATTCAATTTCCTGATGGAAAAAAAAAACATTGTAGGTGTCACATACCGCTCCTGTCACGTGCCTGATTTAAGGATTTCTCCTTAAGAACCAACAGCACTCTGAAATAATTATGTTGAGTCGTTGGCTCGTATTGGTCTAAGGGATATCCTGTGGCCAATATACGCTCAACTTTTTTCAGGAGTAGGGCAACTCAAGCTTTGGCACTACAAAATATATAATATTCCTAGGCACACTTGGCTGGACACCCCCACTACTATAAAAAGGTAGCTCCCAGGTTATGATAGTATACTATCATAGCCATGTTAACACAGAGGAAGATTATTAATTGAACATACATGTATTTTAGACATCTAAGAACAATGAATGTGTGACACTACAGTCAATAGTGAAACTGTAAAAATACTGTAATAAGTGCAACACATACATTATATAAGAATCAGCAAAGAACTTCAAGAACCCAGAGTGATATGAAGGACCAAAACTTCAAATTCGATCTGACTGAACGTGTATGAATGTTCCAAAGTCTGCCTAGATCATCATTATGATGAGTGTGGACAATTAACAGTGAAGCCTGGCAATAAACCCACGATTGCCCACACTTATCTGAATCCCTGGTTTCTTGAACTGGCTGGATGTTCAGTCACTCTGTTGTTACGTTCAAGATAGTCACACACAAGACACTCGAACACTGGAGAGGATCTCAGGTACCACGTCAAACACTTGAGGCACAAACAAACTGCCGGATGAATGATGGTGAAGGTACAACGCCCATAATGTTGTCTGTAGACCAACTGGAGGATTTCATTAATTGATGAAAAAAGTGTGGTTTACAGTCTGATGCCCACCACTGGCTTAGACATAGGTGACTTCCCTGTTGGTGGTTTTGTGGACTGCTGATTCACTGCCTGGCCTCCAAGGAGATATCATCCTGTATCAAGAAGGAACTCAGAATTAGCAGTCATCTCAGGGGTTACATGTCAAGCTCAGTTTATTAACATCCGCATTAGTAATCATTCAGAGGACAGCTCTGAGGATAATGAGACAGTATAAGTTTCTACATATCATTTCTATTGTTCAGTCAGTAACAGTGACAGGAGATGAGTGCCAGAGTGGAGACAGATAGACATATATTATGGTACTCGTAAACTATAATCAACTTACCCAAGCCTAGGAATTCTTCCAATATAGAACTGGTACGTTGAATGCGCCAATTTCTACATAGACTTTATACACGCCTTAACACTTAGGAATCAGGCGAGAGAATGTCGCTCAAACATAAACTCGGCGTCACTAGGAAAGAAGTCCCCTGTATTCATGCCTAAGGAGTAAACCGGCTTACAGGAATTTCTGAATTAAACACCAGAAATCTTTAACCTACAATTGCAAGTTTGAAAATGAAGATATCTCAAAACAACTAGAGGGTCTAGAAATGAATATTTCATCATATAAAGGTATATATCAATATAAGGGACTATATACCCCTCCGGACGGGTTTAAGTTTGAAATGTGACATGCCCGCTAAGGGCATGTCAGCATCACGACTCGTCTATCATGTAGGGTTGGCTGCTCACTTCACGACGGTAGGAGCCGCTTGGTAGTTATCTGTCTAGCCACACGTGACCGGGACCCACGTACTGAGTGAGTTGACCAATGTCCAGGGGATACCCGTGGGTCACTTAAAAAGTTCCCGAGCCACCTTGGTTGTTCGGCTAAGCATTAACCTGCGAATCCGAATCTGGATTCAGATTCTAACGCTGCTGGATTCTTTCGGCAAAATGACATTGGCTCCATGGTCGACCTAGCCTTAAATGGGTACCAGTTGAAAGTCCTGGGAAGTGAAAGCGGTCGGCGTGATGCTAACCAAAATCCCCCATCGAGTGCCGAGTGGTCCATATAATATATATCTAGCCCTATACACCCAATACGTCTGAATTAGTAGAAAAGGTCCTTTTTTTACTTTAAAGGTTCGGCAACCGCGTTGACGTGTTGGTTATCAATCGCATCACAATCAAATTTCAAGATAAGATCCCAAATACTTTTTTCTTGATAGGGCAAACCTGCCTAGCATCCACACGATACTGAAGAACTGTCAGCTGCGTTGGGCTAGTCACCTAACCCGCATGCCAGACTTTCGCCTCCCAAAGAGAGCTCAAGCAAGGGAAGAAGACCCCCACCTTCTCCCCCTCCCCCAAAGCGCTGTAAGGACACTGAAGACTAATCTCAATTCTTTTGGCATCAACACAGCGACGTGACAGGCTGCTGCACAAGACCGTTCTGGATTGCGTACATCCATCAGACATGGTGCATCGTCCTGCCAGGCAGCGGAAGCTGTACAGGCAGAGAAACGGAGGCAGATTAGAAAGAATTGTACTGCGAATCCCAGACTCACTGCGGCTTCCATCGGTTGTCCGCACTGCTCAAGAACTTCCCTGGCTCATATTTGACCAATCAGCCACCTTCGTACTCAGAATCATTGATCATTACTACTTTGGATGAAAGTGGTCTTCATTACTCGTGATAGATGAACAACATCAATCGCGTCCGGTCCGAAATGTCGTACTCGAAATCACATAAAGTTCATATTTTTGTTTTTTTCGAAACTTACCTTCGCTCTCCTGGCGACCCAGCCTAAAATAGGTATCAGGTAAAATTATGGGAAGTAAAGGCGGCTGGCTTTATATTGAACACATCACCCATCGGAGATGGCTTTTCTAGTGCTGAGTCACAGAGAAAAGGGCGGTTCGCATGCTGTGTTGTAGTTTACAGCTAGGTTGCAACATTTACACAATACATCAAAATTCAGCAAAACCCTTGTTAGTCGGCTCTGACTACATGCTTGTTTAGGGGACAGTGGGTCTATTCTTCCCCCCCCCCCCCACCCCCTCAACAATGAGGCCCCAGAGCCCACCCAGGAAAAATCGCACAAAATAAACTAGAGAAGAAAGAGTTATTATACAACTCGCTTTCCTAGACAGTCATGACCCGCCTTCTCCAACGATTACCAGAACCTTAGAGCAGGTCTGTGATCTTGTCTCGTCCATGCCTTGTTGTCAGGCTGTTCACTTATCTGTTATCTTCGCATTGCTGGTATCTAATCAAGCATGACAGTGTGCAACTTCACCTTGTCTCCAGCTGTCGTGAGTTATAGTCCGTAGCAGAGGTAGTGCCCCACTTAAAAAATCTGTAACTTCGTAACCGTTCGTTAGAATTGTTCAAATTTGACCCGCAACCTGTTAATAATTCTGTGTTTGTGAGAATTTTGTTTTTTAAGTGAAACAAGCATTTAGTTTTCATTTTGCCTTGTGTGTGTGTGTGTGTGTGTGTGTGTGTGTGTTTGTACTGTGTGTGTGTGTGTATGTGGAGAGAGAGAGAGAGAGAGAGAGACAGGACAGACAGACAAACAAACAGACAGACCAACAAACAGAGAGAAAGAAAGACATAATCTAAGAAACAGACGCCGATTCAAAGCAAACAATCAGAAAGCTAAGAGGTAATTTTTCTTATTTCACCTTCTTCTTCTTCTGCCTTTCTATCCCCCTATGGAGCATAGGCCCTCAACCAACTCACACCAAGTCGTTCTATCCTTCGCTATTGCATGGAGCTCTCCCCATGTCCTCCCCATCTTTCTTACTTCATTCTCCAGCTCTCTTCTCTGTGTGTTTTTTTGGCCTTCTTTTATTCCTATGCCCCTGTGGGTTCCAAAGCAAAGACTGTTCTCCTGTTTTCTCAGTGTGTGTCCTATCCAAAGCCAGCGTCTTTTCCTCACCTCTTGGTCCACTGGAGCCTGTTTAGTTCTCTTCCGAAGCTCTACTTAGTTATTCTATCATACCATTTAATTCCCTCTATTCTTTTACCTTCACCAGCTGTAAACTCCGGTGGAAAGTTCTGGTTGTTTGTCCACCTCTGGACTTTCCAGTCTTGTTTCATTCAGAATCCGAGCACACATCCGCTATACAGATCTGACGTATCTCAGGTTGTTGGTTCTTTGCCTCTCAGGCAGAAGCACTCCGAATTCGAAATACGCCCATAGTTAGTCGCATCTTACGACATGCTTGGTGGAAACGGCAGTGGGTCTATTCTTTGGGGGTTCAAAGCCACGGCCAAAGAAGACCTGGCAATACAGTCGATCAGGGACTAAAAAAAAAGAGATTCGGGTCCAAAAAGCCGCCCAGCAGTCTCTGCAAAACCAGTGGATCGGCCTCGAGAGCGCCATGCCACGGATACTCACATGTGGTGATATCGGGCGAATGGTCCCGCTGCAGCTGAGCTTTGTAATAAGATCTGCTTTTGATGTGTTACCCTCTGGTGCGACCGCTGAGCCGACACGTCCTCTATGCAAAGCTAAGCAGAGGCTCGAGCACGTATTGTCCTAGTGCAGAAAAGCCCTAGGACCAGGGACGATATACATG